AAAAAAACAACAACAACAACAAACAAACAAACAAACAAACAAACAAACAAACCCACTACCCTTCCACCCAAAAACCGCCACCCCTCCACCAAAAAGCCAATAACAACAACAAAAAACCCCAAAACAAAAGAAACAAAAGCAAAGAGCTGTTGCTCTGACTTCCTTGTGACTCCCACGATGTTGGGGCATAACGCTGGCTATGGCGACTGTCAAACTGTTTGTCTCTTACTGTATACGGTCGCTTTTTAAGGACACGGGCTAACCCATATTTCGAGGGTTTCCAGAAATCTTGACCTACACCAAAAGTGGGCATTGCCCTACCTACAGGAGAAGTTTGGTTTCATTAGTGAATTATTTACATGTAATCATCATCTTCATCCGGTGCCTTGCCGACTGGCGTGGGCGATCATGGACCTCCACTTCACTCTGTCCTGCGCTGCAGCAATGGTGTCTGTTGTTCTTGCTGCTCCCAGCCATGTTGTCATCTTGTCCAGTATCTTTTCCGTCTGTCTGCCTCTACCTCTCTTTACATCAAACTTTCCTGTTGTTACAATATTCTCTAATGTGTGTGTTTACATGTAATATTATTTTGTAAAATGTAAAGAAAGCGCAGATTATGGTTGGAGGGTGTCACTGGTAGAGTCCTACTTCTTTTCTTTCCCTCTGCTGTTTCTGTCTATCGGTCGAGATTCTTCACTGCACTCTATGACCGTTATTACGTCGATGTGCTTCTCTTAGCTCAAAGAAACAAACACATACACATACATAAATAAAGTTGCTTGTATCTTACACAAACCAAAATGTACATTGGACATTATCTGTTGTAGCGAGAAGTGGCTTGCGTAAGCTTACGTCTTACTCCTTAGATGGTTTGTCCCGTGGACGTAGGAGAGTACGCTAACGACCTAGAGTACGACAAAGTCCTTACGTCCAAACTACATGAACCGTGGCTGAGTCCCATGCTTGACTGACTGCCAGAGGGAGATCCTGGGTGCTGATTGTCAGATTTAGTAGGGCGATAGGTGTGTGTGTGTGTGTGTGTGTGTGTGTGTGTGTGTGTGTGTGTGTGTGTGTGT